AGTCAATGACCGGCCCCAGCGGGAGCTGAAGATTGCTCTCCAAGCATCTTAAACCTTTACTCGCCTCTAAAGTTCCTTATACCAGCTGGAACTAGCTGCGACCCATTCGCAATCTTCTTACTGACATCGCTAATCGGGGCGCTACTCGTTAGATCAAAAATACTTAAATCGCTCTTAAGTTCTATGGCCAACCAATTTCGAAGCTCAACCGCCACAAGACTATCGACGCCGTACGTATAGACAGGCTTGCCCGTATTAATGTCGGCTACAGGCAATGATATAATCTTGGCTATTCTAATTAGTAGAATTTTCTGTGCTGTCTCAATGGCCTCTTCCATTGACTTGGATCACCTAAGAAGTTCGAGGAGCTTCTTGCTCTCGGCTCTATTGCCATCATCAGGTGCTACTTCGATTCCCTGGATGTCCACCTATCGGAGGTAGGCAAAGGACGCCAGAGTCTGGAGCTAGTAGAAGCCAGTACCAGGATTCACCTTCTAAGCCGATTGCATGGGGCCCTCAGTGCCAGCTCTGATGAGAAGTTGCCTTATTAGCAGTCTCTCGCCGTTGGCAGTACCTGCAAGTGCGCATTGGAGGAGATTGAAGAATCACTGCTCATTAATACTTGTCTGCATGGACTATGTTAGTTAGAGGCTGTTCTCCTCGTCTGGAATTAAAAATGGGGAGGAGGGGGAGGGATGCTTGCTTACCAACCTGAACTGACTGGTGTGTACTGCAACATCTTGGTGTTCCTATACATAGCTGAACCCCCTTATAACGGCGAGGTCGAGACTCTGAGCTGGTAGCCCCTTTGCATGTCAGTAATGGACCAATGCATCTTGATATATATTTCCTGCTGCGTAGTTTGCCTGTGAGACAGAGCCGATGATACCAGCCAGGGAGGACAACAGGATAAAGAAGTCAAGAGTATCTGGAAGTAACCTGTGTAAGTTCCAGCTTCCTATTTAACTTAATCATTAATTGGACCCGCTCATTGGACGACAAAATGGATATTTATATTCCTTACCTCTAATCTTTGGACTTGCCGCGGTAACCCATTGGTGGTAGCTCATCTTGTGGAAGACACTATCATCTAGCACCATTGCGCCTTGGATAACTCCTCGAATAGGGGGCATGAATTGGGAAATGTTTGTAAGGATTGCCCCAAGTTGGGCCTCCATGGTTGAGGTCCAGTAGTTCCTGCATCTAATCTGCTGTCTAGCATTGGTGGCATAGAGAAAGTCAATACTTTGATTTGGATAGGGTAGGAGTGATAGAATGTGATATGATACTGAAATCATCTATTTGCTATATGATCTGCAACTTTCATAGTATTCCTTGATGATGTTTGCTTGCTAGGATGAGTATGTGGATGAATAGAAGCATATGTAATAGTGGTGTCTTCTATAATAAATAGGATTGTCCTAAATGCTGTGAAGTTGACAGGCTGTGAAGTTGACAGACTGACCCTAGGGCCTGAGCAGCAGAGCAGACTATTAATGACTATGAAGCGACTCCCTGTATATATAGGTGTTTATAGAGACTAGTGGACTGTGACTAGACCAGAATATAGAGTGTGCGCTACTTAGCTGTGTTGTCCCAGAAGGAGATATAAAAGAGGGGCAGTTGAAAGCATGTCTGGAAGCCTGTATGAGGTAACCAGAGATATACCTACTGGCTAGGTTGGATGGTCTAATGGGCTGGCATGGTAATCTTGATGTGAAGGAGCTTATGGAAAGGTTGTAGAGTTATGGTGGGCTAGGCACAGCCTAACTACTTCTTGATAAGAATGGTGTGAGCTCTAGTGGCTGTACTTAGCACTACCTATAGGATCCCTGCACCAGCTAAATACCAGCAGCAGCTGGAATGCAGGTCCTAGGTATGATAGGATAGTGCTGCTATGGCTGTGATTGTAAGGATGTAATGGAGTTTTATAGGTATCTGGCTATGGTGTTGGATAATTATATGCAGGGTTATGGGGATTATTAAAAGAAGTAAAGTAGCTGCTGGCATCTAGTTAGATCTATTCTATTAAACCTTTGAGTGTCTTTTAGTGACTGTATACTGACTAGAAGAGGAGTGTAATGGCGCCTTAGGGAGAAGATTATATTATTGGCCCTGGCAATGGTGCTAGCCCTATGGAGAATGGAGTGGGCAACTGATATAGCTAAACTACTGGTGTATCGATGTAAAGGAAGAGCGGCCAATTCTAAGTAGATGGGTTGGGAGGCTAGAAGTTAGTCTGGTTTAGGTTGGAGGCAGCCAGTATGTGAGAGCCTGGTTAATGTATTGTAGGTGCAGGGACCCCGTACAAATTAGACTAGGTCCTGGGCAACTTTCCCGTAGAATTGCGAATATCTTGATTTCCCCAGTATCAAGCGGTATGTATGCCCATGATAACTCAAGTAGCGCTCAGGATTGTTTCTTCGGTTCCAATGTTATGGTTAACCTGTGCAACCAGTATGTGGGCATCGGTCTGGTAGCATACAGCTACTCCAAAGATAGTCTCACCACCATCTACTGTCTTAAAGTCTCCCGAAGTCTTAAACCAAGAATGAATGACTATCTTTTGGCGGACGGCTGGTAGATCTATGTGACAAGATTGTGGATCTGGAGTCAGGCGGCTTAACCACGACGGTACAGTAGCTGGGCAATAAGAACGTGGAAGAATGTAGTCGCTGCCTGATCCGTTCTTTGATTACATACAGTGGTTTGCACAATTACCCTGCCTACCTTTATTTTTCCGGATTCATTCCCAAACCCTGCTGTGGGGTGGTTGTAATATTTTTGGGTAGTTCAAAACATTCAGGTGGCTTAGCTCGTGCTATAGTCGTGAACCCCACCAAATTGGAAGCGAGAAGGTTGCTGTTCCAAGACTCTGATGTCCCCGCACGAAAGGGAGGAATACGGATGACGGATAAATATCAACCAATTGGGAATGGTCAAATCCCGATCCCTGGAATAACCCTGCTATGTGCGGAGTAAAAGCTGGATCATTTGGTGGCATGGGCCAGTTGGGCAAATTCCGAGACGTTAGGCATTGCGAAACGAGTGACTAAGATATTTACCCGTCATTTCTTTCATTGGTCGTCTAGCGGTCGAGAAATTCTTCAGCATGGAAGCCAAGCTGGTGTCATTTACAACACATACTTGGTAGTCTTTTCGGCTTCATTGGCCTTTTGGAGACCAAAATCACACTCTTTCATGTGGTCATCAATTGTTTTGCCCATCTAACCAATCAAGCTAAACATGTACTGGAAGTTACTATCACGTATCTAGCAGGGCTAAGTGCCGTGAGAAGAATAAAGGTTGCGTCAAACTCGCGGGCAGTGATATAGTTTGAAAGTACAGAGTGAAATTGATTCTAGATAGCCTGTAAGTAGTGCTCTTTGAGAAGATTTGGGAAGAGGAGACTATTCTTACTTGATATTCTGTTAAGCTGAAGACCCATCTGCGGCCAGGGGCTGGGATCTGTGAGCCTCCCGCTCGTTCATAATTATATCCAATATCCTCAAAAAATTGCACCTGGACTTGATCAGAATGGAATGAAACAGTAACGGAGCAAAATGGGGAAATCCTACTGGAATCTGGTTCACAGTATCAGGGACTCCATATAACAGTCCCGATGCGAAGTGCTGGGGCTAGCCGGTGTTTTGATTGAAGTTCACCCGGGCTGTGACACTGTTTCTTGACCTAATGGAGCTTGCAGAAGCCAACTGCGCAATGGCAAAAGCGTATGCTAAAGTCCGGCGCATCTCAATGGCTCTATGAAATCCCTTAAGCAGCGGTAGAAACAAAGGCTAAGGTGCTTTCTTCGGGCAGAATCTCATGGGGTATTATGCTGTTATCTTGCAACTTCTTGTCACTCTTATTATCCTAGCTTTCCATGCATAGTTGCCCCTCCGGATCTTGGGTTGTTCCTCTCGGTAATTCCCGACCTTTAGCGCAACTTGGGTTCCGGCGGGGAACCTACGCACGGCTAAAATTCAAAAAGATGCAGAGGAGATACTAGGAAATAACTAGGCCCTTAAACTATCCGTGATGAAAACGGAATTGAGACTGGAGCCCCGGTGAAGCGAAACTTGAAACATGAACACTTCGACCAGACTGGGACAATACTGGCTGGCAAGCCAAATGAAATCTCGGGTTATTCTTGAATGAAAAGGTTGGGTGGCTTTACAGATCTCATGAGGTTTGTTGAAATACTGCATTCGTGCCACGAGCAGACCCTTTCCTACGACGGATTCCAGACGGTACGTGATCTCCGGAAGAAATCAAATAGCCGCCTGCAGATTCCGGGATGAAACGAAAGGTAAACTTATGCCAGGGATCTACTGCGGGGCTCCACGCGCTAATGTTTTACTACCCCGGAGTTAACAGTACTTGCTGTTAGTGTTGATGATTATGCCACACACCTGACAATCAGCCTGCCAATTACTTTTCTTCAAACCCGCAACCCAAGCGCCACAATCGCCTCGACGGAAGAGACATCGAGATAGAACCTTCAACCGCCTCTCCGCTTCTCCACGTTTTCCCCGAGGGGTTGACAAACTTGACATCAGTTACCGCCAGTTGCAGAGGATCGCCCCCATTTCGCCCAATCATCGATTACTACAGGATTCCCACCTTGCTAAGAAAAGAAGTCTAAATATCCTGGGGTGACGGGCATACGGATACTTGGTTGAACAGGCTCAACGACACAAACTGCGAGCTCTCGGGTGACCGGAAATCCTGGTTTGATGGACATAAGTCCTCAATTCATTCTCGAACAGTGGCAATTTTGCATCCCCCGCTTTGGTTTTCATGTCTGAGAATATCCGAACTAACCAATGTTGTCATTGCTATGGATCCGAACTCTGTTGTCCCCTTGGCCCTACCCACGGTGGGCTCCAGGTAATATACCGCTGCTCTCCCCCGCGGGGTTGTTGATCTTGCGAACACATTTCCAGCTTTCCGGAATAGAATTCAAAGCAACGAATTTTGTGACGCACTAGCTCTTCAAGATGGCTAAAATTATAGTCTCGGGTGTTTTATTTACCCTTGGTTTATGTGCTGCTACCCCAATCTCAGCGCAAGGAGCTGATAGTTTGTCAGCTGGCACAAAGTACCTCATCACATTGTAAGTCATTGTTTTTGGGGGTTGTGAAATATCAATGCTCACTCATCATTGTCAGTGGCGATTCCTATTCTACAACGGGTTTCAATATTCAAGGCAGTTATCCTTCCACTGCAAACCCTCTGGGAAACCCAGCATTTCCTGGTCAGACGACAGACGGAGGCGAAAATTGGGTCGGATTCTTGATTGCCAAGTACAATACATCGCTTACGTTGTCTTTCAACTTTGCCGTGGCTGGAGCGACCACAGATGCCAGCATTATTGCTCCCGGGGGCACTTCAATTCCCGATCTTCGCCAACAGGTAGCTCTCTTTAGCAATAGCATTGCTTCCAAGCCAGCATCCGTACCCTGGGACAGTCACAATACTCTGGCCGGTATATGGATGGGAATTAACGACCTAGGAGGAATCTATGCGCAGTCTAATCTAGACGAACTCCTTAGCAAAATAATGACTTCGTACTTTGGCCAGTTGGAGATCCTTTACAAGGCAGGAATCAGAAAATTTATGTTACTTGCTGTCCCTCGTGAGTTTATTCCCACACGTCCTTCTGGCTACCATACAAAAGCTAAACCTTTCACTTATAGCCATGCAGAGGACGCCCGTTTTTATCGACCGAGGGAGCGAAGCCGTTAGTCAGGATGCTGCTGCAATTGCAAAATACAACAGCCTACTCCAGACTCATCTTCACGACTTCCTGTCGTCCCACCCTAACACCAAAGCGAAATTCATAGACACGCAACAGCCGTTCAACCAGGCACTCAACAACCCAACCGCCTACGGTGCACCAAATGCAACTTGCGTCAATTGGGATGGACATTCATGCCTCTGGCGTGATCCCTATCACCCGGGGGTTGCGATCCAGGAGCTTAACGCGCAGTATGTCAAATCAGAGCTTGAAGGCTGGTTCATGCACAGAGATTAGTTTCATCTGGCGCCCTTGCATTTCTCGCTAGGGGAAGATCAATACATGATGAAGATTTACATTCGGTCTTCTTGGCCAACGCCAGCTATTTCTCTGGGTTGAGAAAAGCAGATCAGCATGGAGGGCTTGTTCAGGTCCACGAAATTGTAGTATAGAAAACCAGGATTCATTGTTCTATCATCCAGTGGCCCTCAGTGCCCGCCAATCAGATCACTCAAAACCAGATGGCATATCTACGGACATTTTCCCAGCGTTACACAGTCTAGTTGGCAGGTATAGGAACCATACGAAAGTTGGTAAGGTTCCCAGCTTCGACCCAGACTAATACCAAAGAAATGTAATTGATTCCCCATCGGCAGATGTAGAGTGCTCGTAGTGGAAACTCCTTGTACATGTCCTGGGGTATGAAACCTCCAAGCCATGGGTATCCTCGAGGGTAGTTCAAACACCTCGAGGTTTGGATAGTTTAGTTCCCCAAAGTCAACACTCTTTTTACCTCATCTCTTCTTCTCTTCCTCTTAATTCCGTTGCTCTGGTTGACCTATAAATTCTTGGTATTTCATAGCTAGTACAGTCCGTCTTAGTTACTTAACTGCGATACCTATCTTTCGGTGGCGGCGGGCGGGCTACGCCTCAGTCTTCACTTTTCAACGTACATATTGATATTTGAACAATTTTATTTGGAAGATGACTTTTTGAAAACAGATACTGGTCTTCTTTACAATAATCTTTGTCCACCGGCGGAAACAGAGTTTCTCTCGTTCATCGACCCAGTCCACTTCTGTATCGTTATTATCAGAAGTCCTAGTCAACCGAAGAGTCTTAAGAACTTGATCTGTCTGGCCCGGGTTCACTATCTCGACGACGGACTCAGCGGGCAAAGTGCCATTCACCAGTAACTGTATCCCGTGCAGCGCATCTTCCTCGGGTGTCTTGAGCTTAGGGTTCGTCATGATTACCGAGCCGGGGCGAATCAAGATAGGCATCGTGGCAAAATCATGGGCCTCAGCATACCACTGCCCACCGACATACGACTTTGAAGATTGAACCAAGATGTCCACTTCCCGTCCCTTCCTCAGTCTTGGGCACGTAAAACGTAACCTCACCGGCCTCGTTGAAAACCTGCGCAACCAACAAATTCGACCCAAACATATACTGCGTATCAATTGCGTACGTGTTCAGGTCCTTAGTGAACTCTAAGAAAAGCGCCCTCATCAGTGGCGTCCCATCGCGATGTCCACGTAAAGCCTCCGCCAGGATATACGGCGTAAGAAGCATTTTGAGCTTCACACAATCACGTATCACAATCGAGCAATCTTCGCCGCAGATCCAGGGTACACGGAATGACGATGACCCATGTAGTCGCGAGTGCGACGAAAGCAAGCCAAACTGTACCCACCGCTTATATAGCGCTGGTGAAGGTGTCCCTTCGAAGCCGCCGATACCAGACGCCCAGAAAATGTACCCACATAGCATAAGGCTCAGCCCGCCACGTAGTGATTCGGCCATTGCCTCGAATGTACTCTCGCAGTCGCCGCCCCAGTGGACAGGATACGCTTGTCCACCGGGGGCGGTGCTACGCGCAAAAAGAAGGCCCTGGTTATCGCCGACGCGGGTGCTCAGAGTTTTATAAACTGTTCGCTTGTATAGCAACGCGTAGTAGTTATGCATGCGTACCGGATTAGCGCCGTTGTGGTATTTAATGCTCTTTACGGGAATACGCTCGGCAAAATCGGTTTTGAAGCTGTCGACGCCTATCTCCATAAGTCGCTCTAGGAGGGTGCTGTACCAGGTGCAAGCGGCTGGGTTGGTGAAATCGACGATAGCCATGCCGGCTTGCCAAAAGTCCCATTGCCAGACAGACCCATCGATGCGCTATAAAGTGGGTTAAAGCTGTATTTCATAGAGGGTGGTGTGGAGCGAGGGGCGGAGTTCTAGCTGACCTTGATGAAGTATCTATTCGCTTTTCCTTCCTCGAATAACAGCGAGGCCTGTGCGACGTAGGGATTGATCCAAACACTAATGCGTAGTCCACGCCCCTTTAATCGCTTCAAATACCCGACTGAATAAGGAAACATTTCCTCATCAAATTGGAAGTCGCACCACTGGTAGGACTTCATCCAGAAGCAGTCGAAATGGAAGACACCCAGCGGAATATCGCGGTCGCGGAACCCGTCAAGGAATGCTGTTACTGTCCGCTCATCATAGTTCGTCGTAAAGCTAGTCGTCAACCAGAGATTGTAGCTCCACGAGGGAACCAACCCTGGACGCCCCGTTAGAGCAGTATATCTTCGCAGAATATCCTTGGGCGAGTCGCCGTAGACGATGAAGTACTCGATCTCCTCGTCCGGAACAGAGATGTTGACTCGCGTAGTCCGTTCAGACTGCACCTCTAGACTGATATTGCCGGGGTGATTGATGAACACACCGTATCCGTTCGAGGAGATGTAGAACGGGATGTTCTTGTATGCTAGCTCGGACCTAGTACCGCCATCCTCGTTCCCTATGTTGAATGTCTGCCCGTTTTTGGCAAAAGGACCGAAGCGCTCGCCCAGCCCGTAGACTTTTTCGCCAACGGAGAGATCTAGCTCTGCGAGCATATAGCCTTGCTTCGCGGCGTAGAGGCCGTCTTCGTAGCGGTGCGCCTCGTTGCGTTGATCTGCGACGTAGCCGATGGAGCGGAACGAGTGATCGGTAAGTTTCTTGCCGCTCAGGGAGCGGAAGACGAAGTCAAGTTCGTTGGCTGCGGTGTTGACATCCAGAGCTAAAGGTCCACTGGCGTACTTGAGCTTGTTGGCAAGGTTATCGTGGATGATGTTGGTGTGGCCGGAGGTTGTGTTGAGACGATCGTACGGACTATTGTTCACTTGTCCTGCCCTAATTAGGAGGTCAATCTTGTCTGCCTGCACTACTAGGATGCGTGAAGTATTACCAGTGGATGAGCTTCACGCCGATAATTCCATCCTGCGGGGAAGTGACTTGCGCCGACACAGTGGCTGCGCGCTGGTGAGCATGGAAGTCATCCAGACTTGGGATTATCGTAAATACGTACGCGAATTCAGTGTGTTCCCGCGGTGCCTCTGGAGTTTATTAAGAAGTAGGTAAACTGTTTCATGCTCAACGCGCAATCTCTCGACGTTGCTCATCCACTCAATGCGAACGCCCTCCTGCAAGTCGAGAAGTTAACATACCTCTGATCTTAATTACAGCGTAGAAATTGTCTGCACATACCCGCAGGCACCACATTCATTCTCTGAACTTCATCTTATTTCGACCTTGTTATCCTTTGCAGGGGAATTATAGCTCGAAGTGTAGAACCGTGGTTATCCTCCCGGGAGTAGCCCCCAAGGTCGTGATTTCCCTTACACACTTCTTGTCAAGCAAAACAAGAGAAGGGAGTAATGAATAGAGGAGCAAGATGAGGTGCAGAGGGAAGCTTATATCTCTGTTTTCGTCTTCTCAACCGTTTCCGATTCCCTTATTTGACACGAGGCTGTGTCCAGGATAGCCAAATAGCGCGCGAGTGTGGTAAATCCACTGTGCTGTTCTGCTGGAGTCGTAGCAGGGCACCCCACAGTTTCTCAGGGCCCGTACCGATTATGAGTGGATAGCTAGGACCGTATCTTGACCCGACGAAACCCACCCAACGCTCGCCAGGGTTAAATTAGCCAAAAAGTCACCGCCTAAATCAAGTGCCGAATTACTTGGAGATGTCAAAGTAATTCTTTACGTGTGATAACCGTTTAGGGTTCGAGCTAGAGCTGAAGTGAGGGTCCATCTATAAAGTTAAGGACATTGGCGCTTGAAAGAGGTTCTTCGGTGTTACTCCACACGGCTAAGGCGGGAAAAGTTTATGGGGGCGATTTCTCTACACAATAGCATCGGTGAAAAGCGGAAACGGCGGCGTGAAAGTCGAGCTATTGGCTGGGACTATTGAATGCTGGGTTATCTTATTTTGACTTTGGTGGCTTTTATCCTCTTCTATTGGCCGAACGTATTGAATTCCGAGGTAGGGACACCCTTCGCAACCGCGCCCAGGCAAGAGACCAAGACAAACACCGCCAAAAGAGGAACCCGCAAATTCTAAAGAATAATTAGGGCAGGACAAGTGAACAATAGTACGTACTACCATAAATTGTGGCGTCATTGTGCAAAGTAATATCACTCAATAGAAGGAGCACTTCATAAATATCGTAATCTAGGGCCGCTGGCCCAGTTGGCGGCTTTGAAGCCTTATGGTCGGATGAGAGGACAGCCCTCAATTCCGAACTGTTTAACTAGGAAGACTGATGCCCGATACTAAGTTTATTGTTCAGCGGCTCCCATCCTACAGCTAGGTAGGTGAGGTGCCTACAGTAAACGCGATTCATACCGACCAGAACTGTCTGAGCGACGGTCAAGGGCCTTGTGAATTTGTAGCTCGGAATCTAGTGCTACAATAATACCAGATGTCTCACCTTGCCCATGTTAAGGCTACTGTGTCAAATCAGAGCAGTATATACCAACCTTGAGCACAAAATACTGGAGTATCGCCGAAAAGTACCTTTTTGGCGCGCGTTAAGGAACTGGAAGCTATATACACTGACACCTTCGCATCCAGGATGTGGTTCACGAATGAAGCCTCAGGTACCCAAAATAGCAAGCAAAGCTAACGAAATCCGTTTACTCACTTTCTCTCTATCGAGAATACTTCTAACGATCATTTTTTGCCACAGTGGCCGTACTGCAAGGTATCTCCGTTGCCGTAAATAGCAAGACTGCTTGGGGCTTCCAAAAAAATGGCTTGGCGGGGAGGTTTCCTCCCTGGCTGCAGACGAGCCCTATTTTCCTAATTACTCGAGATTTTTCAATTATTTCTTTTGATCGTTTAGTCCGACATGCTAACCTATCCTCATGTCAAAATATACGCGCGATCGGGTGATACATGTATGTCGGAGCAAGCTGAGACAGTAATGGCTAGTAATCTGAATAGGCGAATGAGATAGAAGAGAGAACCAAGCGGAACCAATCTGGGATGCAAAGATAGCTTTCTGAGCGTTACATTTATATTCAGAGAAAGGAGGTTACTATCCACGACACTTTCATGCTCATTCATAGCTCAAGTTTTGATATTGTTCCCGATGAGAGTACTCTGGACCTTTGAGGGCTAGAAGTGGTAACAGTAAGCTAGTCAAGATACTCAAGAGGTAAATCCAGGGCACGACACTGCTCAATTTCATCCAAATCCGCCATAGCAGACGGCCACTGCAAACGCTGAAGCCGGTAGTTATCGTGCTTGAACGGCGTCCACTGGCCAGCCATTTCAACGTGTCGAGTTGTGTTGACGTATCCCCTTGCCGTCGTGTATCTGACGTCCGGCGTCGGTTTGAACGTTCGGGCAAAACTAGCCCAAGAGTCCAGCACAAACTGCTGGAATGGCAAATCGTATTCATCCCTCAGTGCAAGGCCTTCCCGAACCACGTTGCCAAACACGTAATACAGTTCCCCGGAGTGACACTTGAAATATTCTCCATTGGGATCGCCGTTGGGATACGCCGATGTCACGGGAGGTTGGCACAGAGGAGGATTGGGCGACCAGCCGGTCAACTGGTAGGTGCGGTTGAACTCGTAGAAGTAGATTTCGGGGAATATCTTGTTGGCAAATCCAGCGTATGCAGTTGCTTGGTCGATACAGCGGAACCCCCCGTTGGTGGCCACTCTTGCCGTTGTATTGAAGATATCAAGTGTCTGGTTGGATCCGGAGGGTATAGGGAACGCTGGACTTGGGGCAACTGTTGGCGGCAGACCCGTCTCGCTCAGGAACTGGCTGATTGTTTCTCCTGCTCTGGGATAGCCTATCATGGCAGCACCGTCATCTCTCGTCGTTCCTAGCATCAGAGGCACGCTCGCAGTAGATCTTGAGTCTTTCAGATTGAGCTCCGAGCTCGTGAGGTACTCGCCATCTACAACGAGGTAGCGTGCAGTATCTCTGAGGGTGGAGATCGTTGTTGCTGGAACGGCCCGTAGACATTCGAGCTGTGACGCAGCATGCGTGCAATTCGTTTCGCTGAGAATGGCGTTGCCGGCAACTTCCATCTCTTGCTCAATAGTGTAGTACTTCGAGTACGTCGTCCCGGTCACTCCCCCGAGATTGCTCTGCATGATCGCACCCGCAAACTTGCCTCGAGCTTTGGGCGATGCCAACAATGCCCGGACCGATCCAGCTCCGGCCGATTGTCCGAAAATAGTGATTTGATTAGGATCCCCACCAAAGTCTTTGATGTTGCGGCGAACCCAGTCCAGCGCGGTAATCTGATCTGCCAGTCCGTAGTTTCCCTTTGTCTTCCGATCGTCCAAAGCGAGGAAACCGAGAGTGCCCAGGCGGTAATTGATAGTGACAACAACCACATCACCTCTTGATGCAAGATTAGCTCCATCGAAAGTGGTATCACTGCCCGTACCGCCTATGAATGCGCCGCCGTGGATCCAAAACATCACAGGCTTCAGTCTCTTGCCACAGTCGGCTTTGGGATTCGGCAGATACGGAGTCCAGACGTTAAGAAAGAAACAGTCTTCTGAGCCGCTTGCCCACTGGACACATTGGGAACCGTAGTCAAGAGCAGACGCATGATCGGCGTTTCCTTCGAAGTCCTTAGAGTAGGCCCAACGCTTTGGTGCTTCGGCGTAGCGAATACCGAGAAAGCGAAAGCTGAATCGATCTCGGACACTAGATCTCGGTTAGACGACGAATCTGCTATGACCTCGGTAGAGCCTCACCCAGTGAGATGCTGGCTGTTAGAGTTGACTGTGACCTGCCAGGTGGTGTTCGTATCAATTTTATCGGGCGTAGAGTAAGGGGCAGTCTGTGTACAAAGTACTGGAAAATGCTCATTTGCGGGAGCCTTCTTCACGCGACCACCCACATCTACGGTAGACGGTGTACCTTGGACTGGAGCAATCCAGTATCTCTGGTCGTCGGCGTATCTCTTTTGGAAGACAAGATAGTTCAGATCATTTTGTATGCTGTCAAATCCCGCAGTTGACTTCCACAGTGACTCGCCAAGACTGTTGCAGCTGTTCATAGCTTCCTGCAATGGCATCGCATCCAGCAAGAGCACGCCAGACCCACCATGGGGGCTGGAACTTTCTATGAGATGTCATTAGCATCAGCTCGTATCAATTCGATAGACAGAGATTTCTTGCCCAACAAATCATTGTGAATAATAATCGATATGTCGGAATCCAAGGAACCCGGGCTAACGAGTGCTCTAGCCGCTGCCGCCAGTAACAAGGTAGCGTACAGGGAAGCACGCGCCATTCTGGTACGAGTGTATCCCAGATAGTACGAGCTCAATCCCTGCCGGGCGTTGTCATCACGCAGTTTTTATCTCTTCTGAAGAATCAGTGTTCTTGGATCCCTTCATTTCTCCGTGCCCCTTTTAGCCATCTACTGCCAACCCCGCGCCCGCGCCGGCAACATAGCATTCCCCCACAAGAGCCACAGACGGTGCTATTCGCCCGGCGACATGGAAGACGCCCCGTACAATAGCAGTCTCTTTCATTTGTCCATCATCGGAGAGGATTATTAGCCTATACTGTCCTGGCTGGCTCAATGATGTGAAAGATCGACTTTGGCCTGCTAACGTAAAGGGCAGGCGGAGCTGCATTGGAATACTGTCCAATATGCGGCGGAGAACTGGCGGGTTTGGTAGTCGCTCATTGGAGATGATCGCATGAGGAACATTTTAACACTTATACGTCTTTTCCAATGTCTGGAAACGACAAGTCTCTTGAGAATCAGACTTCGCTAAACTGAGCGGCTTTAGGCTCTGCAGATTGGACTGTGGGGTGAGGGGGTATTGGCGGGTTTGGCTTTCTCTCATTGGTTTAGATCGGGTGAAGGATGGATTGGTACTGTACTGTGTATTTTACTCTCTTCTCGTGTACTCGTAAGGATGACAATTATTGGCCAGATTCTCTCGATCTCCCAGGGCATCAGAGTCCTCAGCCCGTGATTGTTGGGATTTGCTTGATGAGGGAGGCTGCAAAAAGTAGACGTTTTCGAATTAGGGCGGGCGGGATTCTTAATGGGAGTGTTCGATATGCAGAGCGACAAACGTTCGTCCGAGTCCTTCGGAAGCGTACCAGGCCATATCCCCCCGGCATCTCGCATGTAGTTGGGCATAGTAGCTTGCCATTCATCCAGATGATGAGATGCGCTCCTAACGGCAATTTCTATCTGGACACTATCGTCTTGTCCGATCACTGCCATGTGATTGATTCCGTGTATTTGGTCAAGATTTGGTTCAATTTGATCATTTGTGCAACTAAAGATGCCTTTGAATGAGGCGGGATCTCGACTGGATTTGGGTTCTCTCGTTCTAATTGGAAGAATACTTTTTCGTCGATCGGCAAAGGGATATCATCTCGATGCTGCCTAGTCGAATGACTCTACCACCGTCTCCCCTTTGTCCAAGCCCGTTGCGCCGAGCAAAACGCATGCTTGGACTGTGATCAAGGAGTAACCACGAGACCTAAAAGTTGACCGCACTTAGTGCTATACTGCCGGCCATTTTCACGAGCTTCGGAGTCTCGAATATGGAGGTGCTTTGAAAATTTGAATCGGATCAGAGAGCAACTTCGCAACAGTTATCTGGGAAGCAGGTTTCTATACGTCCTCAGCTCTCGCCTAGCTTCTACGTCCGTGTGCCTCCTCAGGGTTTAGCTCTTCCTAAAAAGAGAAAAGGAAAAATAAGTTGCACAGGGAGTACATCCTCTTTAGAAATCATGAACAAGCGTGAGAAGGAACCAGACAAACATGAAGTTGTGGTCTGATACAAATCCTCAAGTTAAGGAAAAACCTTGCACTGCTCTTTTACAATATCATTTATCATCTGACCCTTCTACTATAGGCTACGGGCTGAGTGACGACGGAGACTGAGCAATATCTAGATACTAAATATATAACCTGAAGCATGCTAATTAGCCTAAGGAGTACATTAAGGCACCGTAATAGATATATCGAATCGACCACCCTATCCGTGCATAGTCTTTAATAAATAAGTAAATTAGTATTTACCCTATTTCTTACACTCAGCAACACTATCCTACTGTACCGATAATCAAGTAATATTACTTTCTCGTCGTTGATATATAGTAACCTAAACAGTTACATTTGCTACTGTAATTAGGATGAACGGCTCGCTTGTGACTAATATTATATTTAGTTCCTTGATAGACAACTGGAATGCAGACTTCATTCTGACCAAGTAACATTCACCACATGGGCACCAACCCACATCGGTACATAATCAGAGACAGCGTACCATGGTGCCTTTTGCATTCCTGACCAAATAAGCTTGCCATTGATCTTCAAACCTTCAAAGCTGACAAATTCAACTTGTGAATTCTTGTCATAACCTGACAAGATAGAGAGATTGCTATCTGAGCCGTTGTATTCGACATTTCGCACCGTAATGTTAGACAAAGTCCCACCGGCATAGGAGTCATACTTGGGATTGTATGCCACTTTAAAGCTGAAGAGCATGCCCAGGCGGAAGTCTTCTACGCGAATATTGCTGAAAAGCACGTTTTTCACAATATTGCCGTTGCTAGTACTCATGGCCATACAGCCCTGGTAGTAGATTTGCGGCTCGTGCTGATCAAGAATGTCGATGTTGTCGAACGTCACGTCCGACATTGTCTGGTTTCCTCCGAAGCCGCCCACATTGAGGGGATGTGCCACATCTGCCCACACAGCCGAGTCCCGGACGGTGATGTTCTGGCTATCGCCGCTGTAGCCTGATGATGCAAGATAGAAGGCCAAAGAATCATCCGCGGTTCGCATGAACAACCTCTCGTAAATGATATTGTGGCTGCACCACGTGTCTATGCCATCGCCCCACTGGCCAGAGCTGATGACCCGAAGGTTGCGGACCAAAACATTACGGCTAGAGCCGACACCGACGGATGCGTGGAGGGGGCTGAGAACGGTAGGGCCGTCGACGACGATGTTGTTGGAAAAACTCACATTCACAGCATTAAGGGTGCTCCCGTAGATAACACCATGTCCGATGAGGCGAGCGTTGTCGGCGTGGAGGAATAAGAACGATCCCCAGACGACGGCGCCTGGGGCGAGATACACAGTCTCTCCGGATGATATTTTGTATGTCTCGTTGAGTTTATGGTAACCGGGGCCAAACGAGGTGACAGTTTCGCTTTTCTCCTGTTGAGGAGCGCCAGTGTCCAGTTTGTTAAGAAAGAGGTGGAGAACCTGGAAGACATCTCCATTAACTTCCACAACCAGGTTCGTAGGCTCCACGAGTGTAAGCAGAATGGTGCGCCCATCGAGCTTCCACGGAATGTCATAAGATAAGGGTCGGATTCTAACAGAGTCGACAGAGGAGAAAACATCCCGGCTGGGTTCAATACTGATCTGGATGACACCGTCAAAGTCGAGTGTTCCCACGCTTGAGTTGTGATATATTGCTGCCCCAGTCGTCACATTGGCCACCATGACCCGGGTCCAGTAGAGCTCGACTGGTTGCCATTGCGTGTCGCTTTCTGCGCGGACATTCACGATGTAATTATTAGACTGAGCAATAGGGCTGGGGACCGAAGGCACCAATAGGCTTCTTGGCTTCTGGGACTCAGCTGCCACGGCGATAGCGGTGATTGGAAAAAAGCTGACAAAACCAAGTGCAGCAACGGCGACTCGACCTAGAGACTTCAAAGAATCGGCCATTTTCCAACTGGAACTAGAAGCTCAAGGATATTTCTCTTGTCTGAAATAGGTCGGATATGAGAAGGGAGCTATCTGACTATAAAATAGGAAATCAAATATCCCTACTACTTGAGCAATGTTCCAAACCAGAAGTAACCTGCGGAGGAAGTCCCAGACCGACATCCGCTGCGTTGCAAGCGCGATCATCTCCGTCGGTTTGCCCGGTAACACACGGGGCAAGTTCCGGGGCCTGACCGTGGCAGGGTTCTTCCTGAGTAAGATCGATCTAACTCCGTGCATTTGGCCGAGATTCCTGAGAATAGGGAGATTGTTCGTGTTGTAAAGCAGAAGGAGGTTGGATTAATGTCATTCCAGAGGGATGCAAAAATGTCATGTATATAGCAAAATGTCATTTCAGAGTGCGATGGCGAAGAATCAAATAGGACGGGGATCTGGTTCCCCTACGTAAGAGTTGAGTAGCATGAGAAAGTCCCGTTTCTCCACGATTGAAAACCCCTGAAGAAACCTCTATCGATTCAAGCACAGTGAACTCTGTAATGCAAGGGGAAATCCTCGCGTGTTGTGAACAGATGGTCGCAAATGTGCTTTCCTTTATGTTTCTTGTTGGTGGGTGGTGGTTTACTTTTATCGCTCTGCCGTTTCGATTCCCACCAGCTCCAGTCTGGACTTTGATCCCGTGGCCAATCTCCCTACACCCACTATACCTAGGTGGAGCTCTCTTCGCCAGTTGGTCTGCCTGAATAGGCAATTCGCCCTGCGTACGGGAATCTACCGCAGGTGCTTCTGCTGGTAAATCTAGCTGCGTAACTAGCTGTTGGCCCTCTTCGACGGTTAAACCCTCTTTGCAGAGTATCTGATTAGTCGACCGAGTACGCTTCATCACCACTTTCCTATTCGCTGCGCGTAGATTCGCGTTCTCTTGCGCTAGTAGCGCGGTGTTGTGTAGCGCTATGCAGTGACCCTCGATGATCCGATCTAGCATAGTTTTTGATGGGCACTGAGGGCTATTCGACCGTTGCTTTAGCAGACTGAGTATTGAAGCTTGCTTTTGTAGCTGAACCACGGTTCTAGGTGTTTTTGGTGTGGATTGGCTAGATCTGCTGTTTGGCCGGCTGCATGGTGGTGTAGGCGTGCGCAGAGAGATATTAAGCTTCGAAAGCACTCTTTCCTCTTTCTGCATCGACTGACACTAGGCCACTAGCTGCGAAACTATTCTGAATATTAGCTGGCTGTTGGAAGGCCTCTTGCTGCGCGCGTTGGTAGTCGTCCAAGAAATCGAACTTGTCGATATGGTTATATCCTCTACGCGCAAGATCGCTTATGAAGCGACCGTACGCGCGCTTAAGCACTGCAAAGCACCTAACATCAAGCGGTTGTAGTAGGTGCGATGAATGCGAAGGCATATAAAGAGAAATAATATTGTTTTCTGCGCAGCAGGCAATATTCAACCCAAACGCGTACTACAGAGATGGCGCACGACATGCTAGGGACTTGCTGTAGCGACCTGACAACTATCCTTGCCCATTTCATTGCACTTTTATGTTCTAGCCTCTTATCAGGAAGTGTTTTATACAACTTCGTGACCCTTCCACTACCAGAAGTGCAGAGGAAGCTGTCAGAAATGAACATTATGCTCTTTTTCCTTCTCGCGACCATATTATTCTCTGTACTTTGCCTACGAAGTCAGATCCTGGGAAAATCGTCTGCTCTGGAAAAGGCCTCAGTAATCATTCTAATGGCTGTTTCGACCGCCTCATTTGTGCATTGGGAGTTTCACAATAGAACATGGTGGTGCCTTTGCTATTTCGCACTTTTGGGCACCTCTGCAACAAAAGTCCTTTCCTTATTCCTGGACTACAGAATAGTACATGAGATATGGAATGATCACCATGCTCCCAGTGGCTCACGCGAAGTTATTACCACTGGCTAATCATACAGCGCTAGCGTCTACCTTTACCAAATTGGTGGCTATAAATACTTACAGGGCCCTGATTTATGTCTTTCAAGTGCCAGAAAGGCTGGGGAAACTAGTCTCCAGCAAACTTGTGCTGCACTGCATCGTTGTCTATTCAACAACTCTGCTATCAGACAAACTTTTGACCTCTTATATGATTGGGCATGTCTGACCAACTGAATAAGCAGATACGCAAGGAGTGCAAGTTGACCATTGACAACATAATACTCTATGCTGAGAAGAGTACTGTCTGTATTGGAATGGCGGAGGAAAAGTCCAAGAGTGACATCGCATACTGATGATGGTCAATTCGCAGTGACTAACGCATTCCTTGATGGCGCTAGATGTACCATCCTTATCTTGATCTTTTTTGATGTGTTTCTGGTACCGTAGACCCTGTATAGCAGAAAGATTTTTCCAACTGTGCAGGAGCGCAAAGCGTTTACTGTGTTTCTGGCACATCACATCAAAGCAGTTTATGATCCTACCAACCAAAGCAGCCCCGATCTAATAGACCCTTAGTCCAACAACCCATAGCAGGGGGCATGGGCCATAACCAACATTGAAATAGCATGCTTGCAGTTTTGTATTAAGCTACCATCGCAGCCATGAATATGAGTGCGCATTGGTATACGCCATGGGCGTGTTTGGCGGCGGGGGAAAACCAGCTGGCGGAACCCCGAGAGTCATCCACCGATATCGCCGTGGTGGTTGGATCACAGATGACTCCCAGATTATTCTGATCGCTCCCCATAAACTGCCCTACTGAGTTAGTCACAACCCCTGCAAGATGAAAGGCAATGTCCGATTTCATTTAAATGCGGCTAGCGACGCAAGTTCCTTTAACCGTAGAACTTTTTCTAGACCTCTGGTTCATAAAAAAATCCAACGAGAAAAGAAATGGCAATTAGGGCAGTCAACCTTCGTCGCAGCGTTTCACTTATAATATGGGCGAACGCAAACGTATCTGTCATCGCGGCGGTTATGAGACAGAAAACAATAACGTATATTCTCCACGTTGTTAACTCATCTCGTACCACATCTGTCATGGCTGGATGGGGAGCCACTCCAAGCATTAACACTGAAGCAGCCATCGCGATAAAGCTTGCTCGGAGCGATCCGCCAGTCGTACGTCCACAATCATCAGCGACCATGCCGACCAAGAATGAAAGTAGTATGGATATCGTCATGCAGTATGAGAATTTGAGTACCTCAATCTCCTCAGCTATGAGTATGCCCCAGCGTTGCCCGTTAGCAAGGACTCTACGTAGCTCTTTAAGGCACTCTTGGGAGTCTGTCTCCAATGGGTGATGCCAGGCGAATGATCGTATATTATGAGGGAGAAGCCTTGGAATTGGTAAATCGTCTGTAGACGCGTAGGATGCGACTGAAGCGCGGTGAGTTGTATACTGTATGCATTAGTCTCCCTAGAATGAATATGAAATGGAGCTAAGCTACCTTGACGAATTCAAGTCGCTTCACATCGAACCAAGAGAGCCAAGCCAGGGACTTCCATGGATGTGGTAAATCTATCCTCCACAGGCGGTGCTGCCGCTTTGCATACGCTGCACGCATCTGAAGGTAGAGCTGCTTATCACTTTCGATGTCTGCTAGCGAGATGCGGAAAAAGCCTGCTCGCCCTCGGAAACCTCCATAGAGAACAGATACGTATCCCGGGTCGGTGTTTGGACCTGGATTCCACTCGACAACACTGCGGGAACTTGTTATATCTGCGATAAGCTGGTTGATCCTATCATCAAGCTGTGTAATCTGAATTCTCAATTTGTCCCTGTTATGATCTGCAAGTGTGGCATCGTAAACTTCCATCCAATCTTGGCACTTCTTATCTGAGTCTTTAATCTTCTGCATTAGGCCCCCGAATTCATTGAGCTGGAGGACATCCTGAACTATTAGTATGAAAGAACCCCTTTGCAGATAACGTGCCAGCTCGATTTGGTATGTTAGAATGTTGGAGTAGAGATCGACGACACTTTGATGCAAGTGACTCTTGACGGAAGGTTCATGTTCATTTTCCAGAGTGGCACTTTCGAGATAGACCTTTTCAACCTGTTTGTAGCGAGGGATTAAAACAGCTACATTCTCAATGTCGGCTGTGGCTTTTTCTCGCGCTTCGGAGTTGTTGACAACTAGCTGGAACGACTTATCAGGCATATTTGACTTTTTCGAGGTCTGAGGAACTTACAGATAACAGAACGCAAACACCCGCCCACGCTGGCGCTGCATGTACAGGATCGAGAGCCACTACAGCGGCCCCTACGTCGCGAATCTTCATCACAATTTTGACAATACGATCGATCTGCTCCCGAATCCTAATGGTCGTCCCTGGCACATTCCATTGTTTGGACTTCATTTCTTCGAACCTCTGATTGATGACCGCTCTCATTTTCTCGTTGTGACTGGCACCTTCTGGCATATTTATACCTTCTTTCAGCATGTGCTCGTACGCTTCCACGAGTTCATGATTGTCATGACGGAGTCTCTCGAACGCCAGATCCCAAAGGTTGGACCGTGCTGTGTTCTCCGAATGATTACTTGTGGCCGGGCTGTGTGCATGGTCTCTACTGCAGGGTGAAGGTTCTACCGAATCCGAGCTTTGTACGATCAAATCGGATGAGGGTGTATTTGCTGTATCAGATAAACCTGCAGAAGAGCTGCCACTAGATAAATCTGGTACAGGGGAAGCTCCCTCAGTAGTCCGGATGCGCCATCTGCGGCGCAGCCGCTTAAAGATTCGGTCGATTCTTTCGGACATCAGGGTTGGCAAATTAAATTCGAGAAGCACCTAAGCAAGATTAGGGATTGTCTCCCAGGCAAATCCTCCCTTGACTTTCAGACTCACAAAAGCGCATTCTCTGCAAATGAATATGGGCTTAGCTTGCAAAATATATGTTGAAGATTTTTTGCTGCGACCGGCACCAGAGCAGCGTAGACTGGCGGCACTTGATGGCAATCAAGACTGAAAGTCCGTGGCAAATCCGTGGCTTCCAAAGATCGACGCTTGGTAGATCGAGGCGGGCTGGACCGTAGAAATTGATTGGGTTAACCCGGACCTTCGAGCCTCAAACATGGGCCGAAGGGCCTGGAATGGTCCAAAAAACGTCAAGAGTACGAGCAGCCTTCAAACCCACTAGTTTTCTATCTTCTACCGAGAGACGCTAGGATTGACCAATGGGCATCCCCTCCTTTTACGTGATGCTGCAGCTGCAGCCGTGCTCATCAGAGAGCAAGCCCCCCGTCCCCACCCACTTGTGAACCGCAGCAAGCCAACCAAAGGACCCCAGTTGCATCTGATTAGAACAGTTTATTCCAACGCCAATGACTTTCGTACTATTTACAAGCCAATATCATGGTGTGGCTCCCTTGGCAAATGCTTACAGCTCATTTTTCAAAGTCAGCAGGGTTAGCTACGTTAATAATGTAATCACATTAACAGGGATGAGATAAGACAAGATGGGCCAATACAGTTAATAGGAGCCTATGTGCGAGGGACCGCGGTCCTCCGGGGGCTGCCCACTATGGGATCCGCCACCCCCCAGTCCAGTGACTGCATTGGGGGAGGACAGGCGCCCCAGCCGGCCGGTGCGCATGATCTGGGTATTATCTAGTTCCTTACCTTCTGTGACTTCCAGCTATGCTAGTTGCAGTGTCTAGATCCCCTGGTATAACTGCTAAATTAGTATGTACCTATTAGGATTAGCTCTGCTAACTAGTTTTACTAGGTGTATAGCTCCTAATTAAGGCTGCACCCCTTCCCTAACTAGATTATCTAGGCTATCTAGATTACTTAATAGACCCCTCCCTAGTCTAGTTCCTATAGGATTACCTACTCTAAACTTAGTACCTACTAGGGGATAGAATCCTGTACTAGAGGTGCACCTCTACTATAGTAATATATATCTCTATATCCTGCCTAGTTAGTGCTAGTAGGCTAGTAGTCCACTTACCCTTATAGCTAAAACTAATAACTTAGCCTAGTAAGCTAGCAACCTCTAGACTGGTTTACCCAATCCACAAATCCATACCCAACCCACCCAATCCACACTTTGGGTTGGATAAGGGTTGGCCCTCATCTAATCTATATGTATATGGGTGGATGATACCCAACCTAAATAGGTATGGATAACCTATTTGGGTGCATGTGACTGGCAGAATTTAGTAGGTTTATAGATTTAGTGGTTTATCTAACCTATTTAATTACCTAATTATCTGTGTCTCTTAGCCTTCAGAAGTTAAATATAAGGTAAGAATTATTAAACCTTTTAATCTACAGTCTTTAAGTATCTATAATCTACCATTAAGAGATTTAATTATAATATAGTAAGTATATAATCCTAAATTTTATTCACATGCTAGCTAGTTTATGATAGTATCCAGGTTAATGTATACTATTGCAAAAAGAATGTGTGGGAGCTAGAGGCTGAGGCTTAGCAGGCTCAGCAGGCTTAACAGGCTTAGGTTGTGGAGGCTTAGCTAGCTTAATAGGCAAAGATAAAATAGGCTTAATAGGTGAAGATAAAATAGGCTCTACAGGCAGAGGTATAATAGGCTCAATAGGTGAAGATAAAACAGGCTTAGAAGATAGAGGTAAGATAGTAGATGTAGCATTGCCATTACCATCTATATTATTAGGGAAAGTAAAAGCCTTATTAAGTAAATTAATATCTTTATTAAAGAAATCAGGATCCTCATAGTTATTAATATATATTTAACTTATCATATTATCCACCTCACTCACTAACTGATTATGGTAGTGATATAGATCCTGTTTCTTAAGTGGTTCCTTAGACTTAGAGATATTATATAACTTAGTATAGTCTTAGGTAATAGCAAACCTATCTATATATATCTAGATTATAATTAACTTAATAGTAGCTGTGTGTAATTATATATAATAGTAGTGATAAATATCTTAAGCACTATTAAAAAGCTATTTAATACTAATACCACTGGAAGGGATAGTAAGAAAGTCAGATGCTATATAACTAAGTATTAGAAATTATCTAGAATTCTGTTACTACTAGTTAAGAATATCTAGGTTTTCAGGGACTTTAGTACCTAATCTCTTAATATTAGATTTAATAATAGTAAGCAGAGGAAATTATACCCTCTTAAAGATAGGTCTCTAACTCTGGATAGAGTTGACCTAACTAAGATAGCTATTTTTATTTTTATTTCTAGAGCTTAAAGATAGCCTGCTGTAGGCCTTCCTTTTGCTTTAGCTAGATAGAAGGGGTGGTAGTATTAGGATATAGGAGGTAATAATAATAAAAGAGTTCCTAAAAAGTTATAGTATACTTTTTATACTAGTTAATCTACTCCTCTGCCTAAGAGCCCTTCTAAAAATTTAATAGCTTCTAGGAAGGATTAAGAATTATTATAATAATATAAATATACCCTTCTGCCTAGTAAGTATAGCTATAGTACTTCTTTAGCTTATTAGAGGCTGCTTACAGTGCCTTTATAAGATATCTTTTCTAAGGGGCCCTCTTCTTCTCTATTCTTTTACTTATATCTTTTAGATAAGTAAATAAGATATTATAGACTATATATATATTATACATACTAGGTCCTGATATTAAAAGATTTATTATAAAGGTAAAGAATGGATAGAGAAGTTTAATTAGATATTTAAGATATTTCTACTTAAAATTAGAGAGCTGAAGATACTTAATATTAGGCTAACTCTAAGTATTTATAAAGATGTTTACCTTACTCTGTAGTTTTAGTGCCTAGTAAAGTATTAAGTATATTAAGTTCTATTATATCTTGTAGTCTTGTAGGAGAAGGTATATCTTTTAAGATTCTTAACCCTTATTATATTAGATTTAAATAAACTTCTATTAGTATTAAGGACTTGCATTTATGAACTTAATAATCTTCTATATCTATAGAGAGAAATTATTAGAAATCTATTAATAAGAGATTAAGTAAGTTAAACCTTCTTAAGAGACTATTTTAAGTTAGGTGGACTTTAAAGATGCTAATTACCCTTAGACTAAGTCTTTATAATCTAGTTATCTTCTAATTTAATATTTAATTAGGTTAGGAAAGCTTTCACTATAAGCTAAAGGACATGGGCTAGGTAAGGTATATATTAGATATTATTAATAATCTTTCTTGTTGAATGAGAAGTTGACTATATATATATATAAAGTATATCTATAAGTCCTAGATTAAATATTATCTATTAAAAAGAACTAAGCTGCAGTCCTTTCTAGAGTTTAGTTCCTAATACTTATATTATCTTTCTATTATTACTTGCATTATTAGTGGTGATAGTAAGAATATAAGATTAAAGACTATAAAGAGAAAGGATATTTATAATAATCTCTATAAGATAGTTTCTAGTATACTTACCCTTAATTAGATAAAACCTAAGGAGTATCTCCTAAAATTTAAATCTTTTATTAATAAAGTAAGTAGTAATAGTAAGAAATAGCTTATAGTTAGGACTTATCCAGTAGTCCAGAGCTAAGGAAATTTTACTATTTAGTAGAAGTTTTATAATAAGTTTTGAATAGCTAATAAGAATAAGTTCTTAGAGGCACTTAGTAAGAGTGATATAGGAGGGAATATATATATCTAGATTTGCTATTTAAATTATACATATAAATTAGATATATTTAATTATATAAAAGGAGAGTTAATAGGTAATAATAAATTAAAGGAGCTAGTTAATAAATTATTCTGGGGTATAGGTGCAGTCCTAATAATTAATATATAATCTAATAATAAGAGACTAAAGAGCAAACCTTAGTAATAAGATATTATTATAGACTTCTGTCTGATCTATAACTATCTTAAGAACCTTAATATCTTTTTAAATAATAATATAGATTAGTTATCCTATTTTACTTTAAGAAGTTAGGGTGAGTAAATAGAGCTCTATATTTATTAGTTATATAGTGAAGCAAGGGTTTACTAGAAGGGATACCTGCAGCCTCTATAAAATGATTCTATACTTTTACTTACCTATATAACTATCTTAGCTTAATATTCTTTGCTGTATAGGTTTTAGTATAAGATATTTTATTCTACTAAGAATAGAAGTCTACTTATAGCTTAATATTTATAGGATAAAGGACTATTTAATAAAATTTTTTACTGCCAGGGACTTACTTAAGTATAGATAGTATAATAGGAGATTAAGTAGAGGATAGGGCTATAATCTTAGTTAGTATAGCCTCTGAACTATTATTAGGAATAAAGTATAAGATAGAAGAACTTAGCCTAATTATAGATTAATAGGCTTAAGTCTTAAAGGAAGACTATATATCTAACTGCATATCAAATTCTTAAGAATTATCTATAGATAATAATAGAGTAGAGAAGAGTATTTTTAATTTAATAAATAAAAATTTTAGGGATTATAGAGAGACTAGAATTAGAATTTTTTAAGAAGATAGGAAAGAGTAAAAGAGTATAGGTATAAAGTATTTAGGATTAAGTAGATTTCTAATTTTAGATACTAAATAATAATAATCCTACTAAACCCTAAATATCCTAATAAGAGATTAGGAATAAGTAGGTACTTATTTCTTATACTAACTAAAAAGAATCCTACTAACTGCTAAATCTCTTAATAAGAGATTGTATACTAGTAAGAAAAAAAGGAAAAGAATAAAAAAAATAAAAAAGAAAAATGCATTACTATCTATAATATTAGAAGTAGTACCCCTATATAAGGAAATAAAAACTAAAAAGAGTAGTGGTAGTGCTGGTAAGATGATTATTATACTAATAGTATAGAAT